TTTGAGGAGAAGATTTAGCAAAACTTAGGCTAGGCGGAATTAGCCGCTTAGCTAAAAAGGAAACATGAATTTATGGCTTGGGCTCAAGCGCTAGGCCCCTTTTTGGATTACTGTGGTTTTATGTGGTTGGCCTCTAAAACTTCTAGCTAAGCTAAGGCTAAAAGAGGAATTAAAAAAAAGGTATTTAAAATGGCTAAGCGGCTTAAAGGCTAAGTAAAAGAGAAATGACATCTTGGGTATTAATAATTAATGGGCCAAGAGGGCAAGGGGGGCACACTCAAATTTCTTTTAGGGGAATTTTCTAAAGGGTTTTTCTTCTACCTGTTTCTATTGAATTAATTGGTGTCAAAAAAAACCCCCAGTTGGACCATTGAAGTGGCAGGGATTTGATGTCTGTTTGTTTTTTCTTTTGAACCACTGGATTCCTTAGAGAGGTCGGACAAAAAACCAAATTAAAAAATTTTTTAAATGAAACTATATTAATTAGGATTAATTTTCTGGCAAGAGAAAGATTCCTTAAAAGCCTATTTAAACCATGTTTAAAAGGAAAACAGGGTTTTATAAAAAAAACAAACATTCTTTAAACAAAATTTAAAAAAACATTTGTTTTTCCCTTTCAAAGAAACTTGGATTCGTGGTTTCAAACCTCCGTCAGACATATTACTAAAAAAAGTATTTAAAAAAAAAAAAATTTTTTTATTTTCTTTCCAATCCAAACTCAAAACCAAAAGAATCTTAAAGTTCTGGAAATTAATTGTAATATGTTTTCATTACTTTTCTGATATGTTAAAATACAAAAAACAATATATAAACTTTAATGTGGATTCACCGCTATTCTGAAAAAACCAAGTTTTTCTAAATTTATTTTGCATTTTCAATTTTTTTCATATACTTTAATGCTAGCCAGTCCTCCATTATTAAGGCTGCTAACAGATCGTTTTTAACTGTCACAGTACCCTTTTCCAGGAAAACCCTTTTCCAAGGAGGCTCTATTTCAACACTCTTTCCCTTCCCCATTCACCATTTCTTTTTTCATTTCATATTCCCCCCTCTTTCCCAATCTCCCTTTCCCATCTCTTTTCATTCTCCCACAACCATGCCCAATGTGTTTTTCTCCCTTTGCCCTCTTGTATCACTCTATGTGGTTTCCTTCTGTAAACCATTAAAAATAGAGGTAGCTGGCAAGAAGCACTGCAAACCAAAACATCTTGGTGGCAAGAAGTAGGGGATGTTGTCTGTTGGTGGGATTCCTGGTTCTCATTTTGGTGGAATTACCCCTTGTTATTTTTTTTTTTGTTGAAAACCTGGTTGGGAATCATTGAAGATGTATCGTATCTTTGTCATTCTTTTCTTTCTGCAAATGTGGTACAGGCGGAAACGGTCCCTTTCAAATCTGTTTGAGAACCTTTTCAAAGAATGTTGTTTCCAAATTCTTGTCACATAATTTTTCTAACAGGTTGTCCAGTGTTCTTTTCCCAACTGGTTCCGCCAAAAATTGGTTGTTTCTTCTGGGATTACCAGACCAGGAGGAAAAAAAAAATCTTCTTGTTTTTCCTTAATACTGTTTACTTGGGACCATTTCGACCAAAAAGTGGCCCACGGTTTTGGTTAAACCCCTGTGGATATTTTCTTTTAGGATGGAAAATCCCATGTGTTGGGTCCCAGATTGCTGCAAGGGCAATTTCCTTCTCTTTACAAATGTTGCAAAACCCTGCCTTTCCCCCACCCTTTAAATTGTAAATTACATTTCCCCGGTTATGTAGCGTTATTCTGTGGGCAGAATTTTTATGTCCAAAATGCCAAGGGCCTGAACTTTCCAGGATTGATACTTGGGATTTTTCAGTTCTAAAAGTTTTTTCAATTCGTGACAATTTGCTGTTTTAACTTTGTTCCCCACAAATCCTTTTTTCAATTTGTGTTTTCTCTATGCTTTTGGGACTTGGTTTTGCTTAAACACACGTTGTTGTGGGTTTAATTTCTGGAGTTTTTGCTAATAGGAGTTTGATTTGAGGCCTCTGGAAAGAACTGCCCAATGGCAGTTGGACGAGTTTTTTTTAGTGGTTGATTGTATTCCATTGACTTGTTTGTCTTTTCCTTGGAAACTTCTTTTCTCCCCCAACTTGCTTTCCCACTTGAAACATAGATTTTTGTTCATATGTTCTGGGGTTGTAAAATGGGTACCTTTTGTTTTTAATTTTTTGAAAGAGTTGTGGAAAAGAAGGGGCAGCCTCATTTTGCTGGGAGAGCAACAAACTAATTGGAAAAACTTGTTCATCAGTTTTTGTTTGAACTTACTGTCCAACGGGCCCATCGGGCCGTTGGATCCTGGCCTTCCTTCACTCAACTGTGGACGTGGCGCTGGGAGGCTCCTGCCCCACAAACCCTGTGGGCTCATCACATACTTTATGCCACTTCCTTTTCCTCATCACTTTCAAAACTCACCCATAAGCAGTCCCGACTTCCAGTTCCCTCATCGTTTGATTCATCTAAGGTATGAGAACCACGCAAAGAATTTTTTGCTATTTTAAGAATTGCTGTGCTTAACTTGTTTTTTTCCCCTGTTCTCATTCTTCCCATTTCCCCAGAGCACTGGAGCCAGGGGACCCATAACCCCACTCTTCTATTTCTTTTCATCTGGCATTTCCTTTTCTGGGGGCCACTCCAAAAATCCACGGTCTGTGTTGCATTTCCAATTTAAAAATCTCCCCTTATTGAGGACGGTTTCTTAACTTCTGGTCCTGCACTTGGGTTTCCTTGTCCACCCAGGCCTGGACCAAACCATCATGGATTGTTTCTAAAGTACCTTTCCGAGCATTAGGTATTTGCTTTTTTTCATGGCTTTTGGACCACAGGAATTGTCTTCCCAATTTTTAAAAGGATGCTTTTTTTGGTTTTTTGCTTGTTAAATTATAGGAAATGGCTTTTTCAAGAGTCAAAGGAAAGAAATAGCTTCAGCTTTTCCAACAGTGGGGTTCCTAATGAAGGAAACTCAGTGTTTGGAGGTTTGATCATGGAGGGTCTGGCCAAGGGATTTCAATTCTTTCTTGCTGGTTCATTCCTTATTTCCTAGAATATTGTGTCAGGTCTTATCAGTTGGTTCACACGTTTGGCAGGAGTTTCAGGGACAATAAAACAGTCTCTTGTTATACCCTTTTTTAAGGAAATGTTGTCCTTTTTCCTTTGGTCTGTTTCTTTTCCCTCTCATAAAACTTAAACGTTATCCCCAAACTTGGGTGGATTTTTGGTGGGGGAAGGGAAGACGATATTTTTTGAAGGAATTCTTAAACCTGATGGGAACAACTTAGTGCTGGTTTTTACCTTGGACCGCCATTGGCCCCAGGATTGTTTTGGGTTTTTCTTCATAATACACCCACTTTAAATAGTAGATTTAAACCCATCGAATGGCTTAAGGGGGTTCGGGAAACAAAAAAGGCTCAATGGGGTACCCCCATAGGACATGAAACAGGGCCGAAAAAAAACCAATGAAACAAAAACACCCAATTAAGGAAGTCCACCGCTTAACCCTCCTTTTTGGGTGTGGTAGCCAATTCCTGCCAACCAGGTTGGCCCCTACCAACCAAATTGTAGTTTCAGTTGACGGAAGAAAGTCAATTTTCCAGGCTTTTCCTTAGGATCTTTGGGAGGCTCGCCATTATGGGATTCCACAGATATTCCCGGGAAATCACTCCAATTCCCCCAGGGGCTTCTGGATGCTT